TGTTATACCATCACGTGGGTACGTGATGTGGTTAACTGGGGGTCGGATGCGTTTCCGCGAGCATAGCGGCTCTCAGCAGTAAGAAAAATAAGAAACCAGCAGCGCGCGAGGCTCATCGCTCAACGTGTGTGTACACAAAAGAAAAAACACCTTCACGCCCGTATTTTATATATWTATTTTTTTTCCTCAGGCCGGAGGAGGAAGTGCGGCCGCGGTGTGTATGTGCTAGCTAGGTGTATATAATATAATGCACGTGCAGTGCACGTTTGTGAAAATATATAATAATAAAATGTGTATAAGTTAAAGAAGAAGTACATACACCGCCGACTACAATGGGTAGCGTTCTCCATCCGTGTGCATTCGGGGAGATGACAAAACACATGACGTCCGCATCCGGTCGTACGCGCGCGCCTGTTGTGACGCCAGCGGGCGCGYGTGTGTGTGTATAATACACGCCAGCCGTTGACGGTAAGTCACACGGTGTGCGTGTGTGTGTGTATTTAAGGTATATAGACCGGGCGCGCGTATCCGGTTTTGCGGTCTGCGGTGACATCGTCGTCTTCTCGACGACCGTACGACGTCCGCCGYGAAATAAATCTCTTCGCCGTCGCGTCCCATTAATTATAATCAAAAAATAACAATATTACTAGAGTTACCCTCTTGCACACGTGTGCTGTGTGCGGTGCTTATACTACTGTTGTACCGGTGTGCGTGTCGGCCGTATACGGAGCCGCCGGGTGTACATTTCGATCGCTGCGAATCGTATTTGGGGCGCGACTTAGTATTATAATATTACGTCTGTACACCGTATGTACGTCATCAGTACATCCGATGATGTGTCGTTTGCATGGGCGTAGCGAGGGGGGGCACTTGCCTAAATCCCTGAGCCTAAAATTTAATTTTTTTTTTTTTAAATTTGTAATGATTAAGTTTTACATGAAAATTGAAATATAAAATGTGATATAAGAACATTCAAGTCTAAAAATAGTTTAGTGGGACAGAGTGTAGTTTATCGATTGGTCTATGTGTAGATTATTCCTAGGTTAGGTTAGCTAACCTAACCTAACCGATCCTAGACGATTGTCATTAATATAATTGTACGTACAAAATTGTTTTTTTTTTATTTATTTTATAACCTTACCGGTTTTTTCTATTTTACTTTAAATTATTAATATATTTATTATTGGCATTTTTATAGTCTTGTTTTAATTCCCCCCCTAATTGAAATCCTAGCTGCGCCATCATGGTCGTTTGTATCACGCGTAGGTAGATTTTTACTTTTGAACGGTCTCATATAATATTATTATTGTGCCATGTGTACCTATTATGTGTGATGGCATAAAAAGGGTTCGTGKACCTTTGCTAGCAATAGTAAAACATATTTATCCGGCTATCCGCTAATCGTAATGTAGTATACCATTAAATGCTATGCATCATCATATAATAAGCGATTATTAATGTGTATGATGTAGCCTTTTAATGTCTGATTTTTCCATATTAGAAATGATAATTTTTAAATTTAATTAAAATTGATTAAAGCGTTTTGTGTGTCTTCGACGTAGTATATAGGTACTTATGCAACATATAATTTGAGCTTAAATKAGGGTATTTCAGTTAACTTATTTGATGTGATAGGACGGGAGAAACCATGATAAAAATTGTYTTCACCTTAACTTTATATTTTGGCTGTATGTAGSCTCCAAAGCTCCAAATATATATAGTACCTAATATAATATTTCATATCAATATCTCGRTTCAATTCAAACATAAAAGGACTATATYACCATCACCCACGCGTTAAATTATTYGAAAATACAAACATTGTTAACTATTTTTGATATTGATTGTTTGCTTAAGCTAACACTTATATTTAAATTAATTACGCGTGAATAATACATTATAAGTGCATTCAATTATTTAATAAGTACATATATATCATGATTATCACCGTTTGTTTCGCAATTATTGTCTAATACAAAAATAATAAAAATAAACGGCTTTGTTCGATATTGCTTTGTTTAATATATTCCTATAAATATACTAAATAATATAACATATACTCTCATATAATTGCAACGTATATTAATGTATTATATTTGAAAACGACTCGTAGACCTGAAGACGACAACGAGAAAACGAACCGTCCACGAATATATATTTTTTATAGACCTGCAAGTACCTAATATAAATATAGATACTCAATACTCTACTCATTTGTATTTATTTTATAGTGTTATAGTTTTACCTAACTGCAGTTCCTAGCAGTGGCATCGGTTATAGTGTATAGAGAGTATAAAGTTATATACGCAATCTTTGTGCATAGATTTTGACCGCGTCAATGTAGACATTYTGGCGTCTACCACTCTACCATACGCGTAATCGTCGATTTTGACTTTAGTCCTACCGAATACGCAAATTGCACTCCATGGTTATTTTTTAGGTTGAACAATATTGCGCTAAATAACAGCGTAATAGTATTTATTTTATTAAATATCACATAGCTCTATTTTTATTGTAATACAATGAACAYGAATGTAGATATCAAAAATGATTATATTATAGTTTTATAAATTTGTTCTTCAATTTTTCATGCGAAACAACTATAATGCGGCGAATGAGACCGGCTTTCGGGTGGTGAAGTGCGCAACGAGCACAAAGCGAAAAGTACGAAGCTCGAAACATCTAATGCRCCCTTTAAATAATGTATAATTTTTGTCGTTTCACATCTGCCAGGCGTCCCGTGGCGGCTCACTTTTTTTCAATTATTATACAATGACCGTCAATAATGGTAAGTGCATTTTCTAACCTACTTAGTATGATGCAAATATATATTGTATAATATAAGCATCGCAGTATTGGTATATTGACCGGAAAATATGAGCAGCGCAGCGTAATAATAAATTGGTATACTCACCCTGGAATACAAATGTTGTTCTAGGCGCAATTGGTCCATGCCCCTATTGCAGGAATATATAAGTATCATCACGGGACAGTCGACTGGCCGTTGAATGAGTTTCCGTAGGAATAGTTACGTACAATGTAAATATACAATATAAACGAAACTGCTACAGCACAATAATACTTCTTTCAATATATTATATATATGTCTACCTATGTCAAACTAATAATCGTGTCATACGCCATTATTATTATTATTATTATTATAGTATATATTAATTTATTATTATAAAATTGTTATTCCATCCCATATGGTTACATAGGTAGGTATGCCTTTTGTAAATAGTTATATTGTTGTTCACATTAACACGGTATACAATATTTAAACGACAGATTCGATTATTTTGAAATATATTTTTATAAAGCACCTGGATGACGAATATGGGTACTTGTCGATTGAGAAAAGAGTTGAAAACAGAGGGGTGTACCTATATAGATGTTGGATAAAATGCTTTAGACAATTTTTTTTTATTATTATTATCATCGAGTCTATCACGTCACTGTGGGCGTCTTACAAAGTTACAACAATAACAAACATATACTACAATAGAATCCGTAATACAGACAGACGAGCATGTAAACATTAATCATATAATATTATTATCTAATA